GGGGCATGGTGGGGTGAGAGCCCTAGGATGGAAGCAGGGGGTCCAGCAGTTCTGGGGGGTGTGTCAGCATCGGCTGGTGCCAAGCGCTGGAAGAGAGAGGCGGGGTTAGTGATACAAGGATGGTGGGTCCCCAGAAGTCTCTCCTTGGTCCTTCTTCTTGGTCCCCTCTCTGCCTCCATCCTAGCCTCCTGTGTTCCTCCCACTCATGCACAGTCCTTGGGAATGTGCACAACCCTTGGGAAGCTCCACAGCCTTTGGGAAGATCCATAATCATTGAGAAGGTCCCCCACCCCTTGGGAAGGTTCACAACTATTTGGGAGGAGCGCAGCCACCAGGAAGGTGGACAACCCTTGGGAAATCTCTCTCCATCTGCCCTGAGCTTGCCATGGAGGGGTGACCCATGTGCTTTCTTGCCCACCCACCACAAAATAAGCCCCTGCAGCATCAGAGGTCTCCAGGCCCCAGGAGCACCTCGAGTTGCTGGGAGCCACCTTCTCCAAGCAAAGAGTGACCCACTCCTACTAGATCAATCCATGCAGCCTCACAGCAGGATTCATCTCCAAGAGTTACCTCATCAATGATCCCCTCCAGGGCCATGGGACCTCCACACTGTCCGATGCAGAGGTGGCTTCCCATGCCTGTGCAAGTGAGGGTCCCCGTGGGGACCTGGTTTATCTCCTGCTCACAAAATCCTCCAAGGTGTGGGGGGTGGGGGGGAAACCCCACCCTTGTGAAATGCGATAAGCCAGAAAAAATCCAGCCTGGGAGATCACGGTGGTCTCCTCCAGCCTGGGAGGCACGAGCACACATTGGGTGCACGGCTGCAACACTTTCACCCCAAAGCACCCAGGGCATCAATGGGTGGGATCATCCTTCTGCAATATCCCACAAAGGGCTCATCTCATCACCCTAAAACCCTCCCAAGCTCCCCTGCACCCCACAACCGCCACCCTTGGCAAGCACTAAATGGCCATCGATCCCTCCATCGTCCCCAGGGCAGCATCCCCGACGGCTCTGTGTCCCCTCGGAGGGCACAACCGGGCCACGAGGTTTGGGAAACCATTTTTCAGGAAAAATCAGTTAATGGCAGGAAATCCATGCTAAAAAACATAAATAAAACCAAGATGTGGTGGGAGGATTTCTGGAGCTGTGTTTTGGGTCATTACAAAATGTACCCTGGCATGTCAACCCCGCCTGGGCGACCACTAGCTCCCATGCAGCCGAAACCCGGCGAACACAAAGCACTGCCGGCAACTTCGGTTGATGCCGATGGGATGAGAAAGCGCTTTTCCATCGTGAGGATGGAGCCACAGCATCGTGTCACCAATATCTCAGGCCTGGATTCCTGCCCGCGTCTCCCGGGGCATCTGATCAGCCTCGGTCTGTATTTCCCAGCCAGAAGCCATAGGCAGGATCTGGCCCAGGTGGGTCTGGTTGCCCACATCGCTTATTCGTGCCCTGGACAGGTCCTACCCTGACCACAAAAACCTCTCCTTTCTCCCAATCCCCCCAGCAACGATCAGGATTTAAGGAAATTATTAGCGGAGTCATGACCACGGCTGATAAAGCCCAGAGACATGGGGAGCTGGAAAACGCTCCCGGCTGCCGGGAGATTTTGCAGCAGCAGGAGAAATCCATCCCGGGGCTGCTACCTGCGATTCATCATGGATCCTTTCTTTGCATTGTTCCACGGTTTTTCCGTCCCCCCCTCCCTCCATCTCCAAAAAAAAAAGATAAAAATAAAAATTAATAATAAAAATAATTAATTTACCAGCAGCTC